AAAATCCCATATAAACCCTTATAATTCAATGCCATATCGTGTTGCTTGTGTGGTTCATAGAGAGAGCTTGGACTGTCTGTGATGAGAGATGGAGCCAAGATGGGGAAGAGAGAATACTGAGTAGTGAAAGGGAGTAGTGAAAAATAAAAAGGGAAAATGAGAGGCTGAGTTAGTGGAATAAAACAATTGGAGTAAAACAAGGAAGGGATGAAATAGCCGTGGAAGGATGATTTGAGAAGGGACCTTGGGTTGAAGTGGGATTCAGATTTAGTGGAGGGATGGGCATGTAAAATTAAATGAGATGTTGGGTGCAAGACGAAAAGAAGGGGTTTTGCAGTAGGGACTATTCACTTTTTAGGGGGGGGGGGAGTTAAAACTGAAAATAAAGACAGTATATAGCGGGCGACATACGAAATCTACTTGCTATTAGCTATTGCTAAATTTCCATGAGATTCCCACGTTCTGCACAACATGGGAATCTCACGGAAATTTAGCAATAGAAAGTTGCGGTGACGTATTGCACATTCATGTCGGTCCACCGGCAAGATATTAAATTTGAACTGGAAAAACATGTGGAGGGAAAAGGAAGAGATATTCGGGACATGTCATGGGGCCATACACGGAACAGTGACGATTTTACCTCATACCCAGGGCTTTTCGACTTCTTGAGGACAAGAAGTCCGCGCAGAACTATCACAAATCACACGCGAAATATTGTTAATTCGTCGCTGTACTAAGAAGCATGGACATCAATTTTAAAGGACAGCGTGCTTTAGTGACCGGTGCGGGGAAAGGTAAGATAGTTTTTATTTGTGTACTGAAAAATAACGAAATTGTATCGAGAACGAATAGCGCGCGCTCCTCAACGTTTTGAACTTAAGCTTATGTCATGAGTAAAATATTGAAAATCACGCAAACTTGGAGCCAAATTAGAGTCAGATCTGCACTTGATAATTTGTATAGTCGTCTCTTCTCCTTTAGAATGTGGAAAACGCACGATTTTGTTTTGTTTAAAGGGATTGGCCGCAGTACTGCTAAGATGTTAGTTGAATGTGGGGCTGAGGTCATCGCCTTATCACGAACCCAAGCAGACTTGGACAGCTTGAAAGAAGAGGTACGGTCACACCTTGTACACGTGAGAAAATAATTCTTTTTCACGTAATGTCATCGCCGCCATACATGTATTGGATGTTTTATTTCTGTCATTCAACATGGCTGTGAGGACTTGTCATTTGCCTCATTTAACCCATTGACTCCTGTGCCGGTTTCACAGTGATATGTGTATCCCCGTGATATGTGTATCCCCGCACACATATCACTAGTGATATGTGTATCCCCTCCAAAATGGCAGCCAGTGATATGTGTATCCCCCACCCCCCTCTCCTCTACTTTAAATAGCAATATCATCTGGTCACTTACAGGACGAACTGCAAACCCAAACAGAGATTAAACACAAATCTCAATTTTTATAGCTGAAAAAGCTTACGTATCTGCTGCTGAAATTGTGTTCTTGATACTAACTGGTTCTCTGTGAGCAAGATATATTGAATTTAAACTTGAACACCAAATGGATCTAGATATATTTCAATTTGAGTTTCATGGCACGGAATTTCTAGGACGATATTAATTCCATGGTACATTCTCACCCCTTGAGTAACACATATTCTCCACTGTTCATCGCCTTGTTTGCTTCTAAATTATTCATTGAGTGAAACACGTATCAATGCTTCAACCTGCTTGTCATAAAATGATTAGGGGTATTCGTGTTTCCCTTGCACCCTCTTTTCAGTTCGATTTTTTGTAAGATATGTTAAGTCTCAAGCTGTATACATTGCTATACTGCGAATATTGCTAGCAAGTTTCATAATAATCAACGTTTATTCTTCGGTTGATAGCCTAGATAACGGCTGTTTTCAGGGGATACACATATCACTGCGCCATGTAATAATAAGTGATAGGTGTATCCCCTGCATGCAGTCATATACAACCGAGGCCAGTGAAACCCCAGCAATCCCAAGCTATGAATAAATGTCGGATGTGAATATTTCTAGCAAGCCAGTTTTGATGATGCAAATGTAATGGGCGTTTTTCTTCTTGGGTAGACTGCCAATATAACAGCTGTGTCCATGGGGATACACATATCACTAGTTCATGAAATAATTCATTAATTCATAATCAGTGATATATGTATCCCTTATTATCCCGTGCACCCATGCACGCATTTTTAGTGACCTTAGTGAAATAATCAAGTTTCAAACTCCAGTAATCCCAAGCCGTGTAAAAACGTCAGGTGCGAATATTGCCTGCAGTTTTGACAAGGTTGATGCGCTATTATGTTTACATATGGGGATACACATATCACCTCACCATGAAATAACTAGTGATGTGTGTATTCCCTACATGCAATTTCAGTTTAGCTATTTAGAAAATTGAGTTGGAAACTCCGCAAATCCCAACCTGGTTATAAACGTCATAGCGAGTATGCAGCCAGCAAGTTTCAGCAATAATTGGCCCTTTTTGTGATCAGGTAGATAGCCAATCTAACATCTGTGTTTAGGGGATACACATCACTGCACCATGAAATAATTAGCGATATGTGTATTCCGTGCTCGAAGTTTTAGTCAGATATACAATCAAGGCGGTTGGAACTCAACCAAATTCCAGAAATCCTAAGCTGCTCCATTGGGCGTGAATATTGTATTGAATTTGACAATAACTGCCGTTTGGTTCTTATAGATACATAGCCTATATCACGGCTGTGTTCATGGGGATACACACATCACTACATCATAAATAAACAGTGATATGTGCATTTCCTGCATGCTATGAAAGCAATATGTAACTATGTCAGTTACTCACTCGTCAAGTCATAAAAAATTATCCTCATTAACGAAGACACTTTGAGCGAGAGTGGTGTGGTGGGGTTTGACTGTTGTAGTTTAACGCTTGAAATATAGAAACGAAGCGTCCTGCTCATCCACCCCAGCATGTAGCACCATCTCAGCAGGCAGTACCACCTGAGCAGCTAGAAACACCCTCGCAGACAACACCAGCCCAACAGGCCGCACCAACCCTGCAGCCTGCAACCCCCCAGCAGGTGGAACAACCCCAGCAGACAGTACCACCTCAGAAGGCAGCAGAAAGCAAGCAGGCAGCACCACCCCAGCAGGCAGAACCACCCCTGCAGACAACACCAGCCCAAATGGCAGCACCAACCCAGCAGCCAGCACCTCCCCAGCAGCCAGCACCACTCCAGCAAGCAGCACCACCTCATCAGCCAGCAATGCCTCAGCGGTCAACACCAACCCAGCAGGCAGCACCATCCAAACAGCCAGTGCCACCTCCAAGGGCAGTGCCAACCCAGCAGGTGGCACCATGCAGGCAGGCAGCACCTCCCCAGCAGGCAGCACCAACCAAGCAGCCAGCACCTCCTCAGCCGGCAGCACCAACCAAGCAGCCAGCACCTCCTCAACAGGCAGCACCACCCCAGCAGGCTGCACCAACCAAAGGGCAAGCACCACCCTGGCAAGCAGAACCACCCAAGCAGGCAGCGCCAACCCAGCAGGCAGCACCACCCAAGCAGCCAGCAGCTCCCCAA